AGTGTTATTACATTTCACTCTCACTTGGTACAGTTGCCCATAGCCTACATTCCAGTTCCCTGTAGAGCATCCGAATACACACACACACACACACACAGCAGTGCATACACTGCTGAAAGCTATATTATTCCCTCACCGCTTCGCAGGCCATGGAAATACTCTGAATTTACTAACCATGACCCAGAAACACACACATTCAACCATTCAAGCCTTTATTTCCCCCTCTCTGTCTCACAAATACAAATGCACACACACAGACGGATAAACATGAACACCTAACTCTGCTCTAATGGGCCGACACATACACTCAGTTAACAGCGAAAGTAAACACGCGGCAACTCACATTCTGTCTTCATCACGCGCACATTTCCAGACGTCAGTAATTGCAGCTCGTTCTGATGTCAGTCTGATCTAGAATTATATTCTAGTCCAACCCACGTCACTCACTTCCATCTTAACACTTATTTTGGTTAGCAGCAGCAACATTCAATTACTTTTCCATCCATGTTCACATTTTGTTCTAAATAACAATTTTATGCAAGTGTTCTCTCATAATGATTGGGCGTCGTCCTCAGGTGCAGTCTGGTGCGTTAACAGTCTATCTGCATTTTTTTTTTTAAAGCCAAACATGCCAGCAGCAAGGTTTTCACTCATTACACTGACTGACAGAAGGCTGTTTTTTTGAAGGACAGGAGGAAGAGGGTAATAGTTTTTACAGATACAGTCAGGTCCACCACTACTTAGACAGCAAACAAATATTCATAATTTTCTCTCTGAACACCACCACAATGAATTTGAAATGAGGAAATTAGGATGTGATTAAAGTGCAGAGTTTCAGCTTTAATTCAAGGGGTTCAACAAAAACAGTGCATTAACCGTTTAGGAACTTTTTAGAAAGTCCCCCCGTTTTCACAGGCTCAATTCAGTAAACAAACATAATTTTAAGTATAAGGATTATTTTTAATGCTAATCCTCTGCAGTCAATAACTGTGTGAAGTCTGGAACCCACTGAAATGCTGAGTTTCCTCCAATGAGATGCCTCTTCGGTACTATACTACATCGCCTTTGCTGCTTGTTTGTGGCTGTTTCCACCTTCATTCTAACATGAAGTGAAGAGCACGCGGAATTGATCTGAGGTCAGGTGTCATATTCCTCTTCTATCATTCTGCTACAAGTTCATGTTCATTTCATCATTCCCCAAAGGATGTTACTCCAGAACTGGGCAGCTTTGTTTGTTGATGTTTTTTTGGGGTTTTTTTGAGCAAAGCCTAATCAGGTCTTTCTGTTTTTGAGTGTTAGCAGTCATTTGCATCCTAAGGCAAACCTATTATATCTACATTTATAAAAGCGTCTCTTGATTATCGAGGTATGGCTACCTCCTTGAGTGCATTCTGGACTTGGCTTGATGGAAAGAAATCGGCGATGATGACCTTAAGTTGCCTTCAAGGTCTTTTTATGTTGCTGAGCTCATCACTGCAGTCCTACTTTTAGACAATGGACCACTCCTGAAGTTTCTCCCATCTCTCTGGTAGGTGTGTTTTGGAGTTTCCAGCCTAATGAGGGACTTGGATCTACACCCCTTGGACTGCATACTAGGGGAGTCCATCAACAACTAGCGAATGCAAATCACTTGGAATCAACCCCAGACCTTTCATCTCCTGAATTTGTCATGAACCGCTAATCAGTCAATTGTCCAATTACGTTTGAGCCTGTGAAAATGGAAGGACTCTGATGGTGCAGCTTCTCCGTCATCTGTTATATGATCATCTTAAGAACTGCAGTAAAAAGCAACCGGACTTCTCTTTTTGGTTCTTGAAGATTGAAATAAAGAAACCACTGGGATAAGAAGTTAAACCTCTTCAAGAACCCAATAGCCAAGTCCAGTTGCTTTTTGTTGAAGCTTTCATGTCATTGATTCATGATTCATGGATGACAGTTTTTGAGATATGGTTGTGTGTCCCTGTGCATGACTGAGAAATGATCCATACTGATGCAAAACTAACGCATCTGTGAACAGCATGAATGTTTATGAGGAGTTTCCCTCGAGGATTCGGCTCAGAGTTCAGGTGGAGCAGCAGCAGCAGCACAAGCTTCCTGACTCTTTGTTGTCACACATCGAACATTCATAACGCCACACTGGCATACAGACACACAAAGAAAAGCAGCACTTGTTGTCATCATTCAGGCTTTCACAATGCTTTACCAAACAACACGCATAAAGCATGACCGTTTTCACTCGACTGTAAGTTCACTTACAGGTCAGTTTTTTTACAGTTAACTGAACTCAAGAGATATTAAAGACTAACACACAAGCCGCTACTGAAAACCATATAAGATACACACAAATTCCCCTGAATAGAGGTTGGCACACAAGAGTAGGATCAATAGACAAAAACACTCTTACTTCTGTTAAAAAATGTCAATTATCTTCTCCGTTTTTGCCATAGAATCTCAATGCTTTCAATTCTAGCACCAGAAAAAAATAAGAAAAAAATAACAAGATTGGAGCACTGGAGTCTTCGCATTAAGGTACTTTCCATCCATTGTTGGTTGAAATAAAACTGACCAAAGACACGAGTGTCACACAACATTCGACACTTTTTACCCGTCACCACACACCATTCTGATATGTGTAACCTCATTATCTAAACACAGTATGGCCATATGTGTGCATCAGATCGAAACACAACAGCTGCCATCATCCTCTACCGTGCTAAATGTGTCAAATTGCATATGTCTGTGCAAAAATTTCTATGTCATATTCACGCGTTCTGACCCTGTTAAGCATTCGCTGAAATAAATCTAATAAATCTACAGGATTGCTTAATATAACTTGATGCTTCAGGGAATTAAAAATGAAACCGTCTGAACACTGCAGGTCTCTGCATGCATCAACAAAGGTGCAAAACAAAGTAAATAGCTGTGTCATGTGAGGTGTTAGCAAGCAGCTGTGTAATGGCCTGCTGTGTTTAAAAAGTCTCCAGGTTAGGAATACTGTTGCTATGGCGATAGTTGGATAACCTTCATTGTCCTCATTTTCCCTCATAGTTGAGTTACATCGGCAACAGGCTAACTGACAGCGATTGGCTATTTGTTAATAAGGTTTTAATTCTAGGTTGGTGAAGTTCATTGGGCGTTTAGGGTGAGCAGTAAATTAATTCATTTATTTGAAGTCCACTATATAGTATGTGTGGCCTGGTCGATTCTTGAGTCTCACTTTCAGCATTTTTCCGACGATGGGTACCGTTATTTTTAAAACTAATTCCTTATAAAACAAACTGAAATATATATATATATTTAAAAAAGGGCTATTTTAGGTCTGACATGGTCGCCTCTGTATCTGCTGGCAACACACTGTGGTTTTATGCAATATCCCGCCCATATCTGATTGGTTACACATTACAAGTAACAGCCTATCATCACTTCAAGATAAATATTGAAGAGTTCTCCTTTAATTGAGCATGTAAAAAAAAAAATACAAAAAGACATTTCAACACTGTTTTGAGTTTGTCTAATTCTAAGTTCTGACACCAAGAGTTGTATTTTCACTGCAAATGTAATTGTGTTCCTGATCAGTTATCACTAATAATGGTATTGACCCAGAAAGAAGATTGGCTGACCCACAAAAATAAACCCACAACAACCTTCAACAAAATTCAGGGTGACAAGGCAACAAACACGATAATCACAATACACTGTTGGGTTTGTGTATGCGACAGAGGTCTTCACAGGTCCACTCCTGACCCAAGGCAGACCGGGGCCCAGGAATACTTGTTTTAATTGAGTTAGATAAGGTCTCGTTTTACTGCTTGGGGCCTCAGGTCTGTGTGCCAATATTTCTAATCCTCAAATGACTCCAAATGGATCCAAATGTACTCACTATCAGCTCTGATTACAGGTGTTGTAAGAGCAGCGTAGCTACTTTAAGCGGCAGCACAGAGCGTAGCGGGTGTGCGGTTGCCCAGAAGAGATTAGGTGACAGCGTGGCTGAGCTCGGAGCAGGTGTGTGCTGATGATGGGCGCAGAGGAAAGTTCGCAGTAAAACTGTGTATGTAGCAGAGAATGACCAGTTTGAGCTACACATTGACAGTAAATACTTGTAGCGGCTCCTCAAGAGCCCAGCCAAGTTTCTGTATTTTGCTTGCCAAGTGCTGAGTAGTGCAGTGCAGAAGGTTGACCCCACTGTTAGCAACAAATTTAGCCCCAGAGCACAAAACTAAATCTCCTCCATGCTTTTGGAAGCGAACACATACATCATAAGCACAGCAGGAGAAAACATCTGTAGTTCAGTTGACTACAGAATATTTTATTGTTGGGGCAGGAGGTGAGAACTTTATTGCGAAGAATTTGTCTTTTGATGCATTATTAGTTTCTATGACGTCATTAGACCCCCGTTTTGTTAACTGATCGTACATCACAGCGTGTTCTGGTAGCTGCTGTGTGAGTCTGTTCGGGTTGAATGCATTCAGATCAGGATTACCTGGGATCTATTTGGGTCATGTCTCACTGCTCTCTTTGGACTCAGTCTCCCTTTTTATAAAATTAATTTATCCATGTCAAACTCAGGTAGGTTTTCCACAGGTCATGTAGTTGGTTGTCTGTCTCTTCTCTGTCAGCTACAACAGGCTCCAGCCCCCTGTGACCCTCTACAAGATAAAGTGAGTATAGCTAATGGATGAATGACCTGGATCGGGTCCTTCACTTTGGGCTCGTGACTGTGTGAGATGTTTTTAGTACTACCAGCATCACCTTAGGGAACTGAGAAGGTGAATTTGTTACCAAACACATCATCCAGCTCAAGTTTGGTTTCTACCAGCTCCCTGATGCACTTTAACTATCACCATGTTGACTGAACAAAGTGTTAATTAGTGCTTTTGATAAAATAAAATCAACTTCAAACGCGCTAAAAATCTGTTCAGTTTGATGCCAGTTTAGCATCAGCATTAACAAAATGTCTTTCAGGTTGCATGTAATCTATTACTTATGAGTGCTGCTTGTACCTTTGTGTTGTTGTGTCTGTCCCCTTTGTCAGCATCCTTCTCTTTCTTCTTCTCCTCCTTCTTCTTTTCACGCTCCTTCTGTGGACAAAAGAAGGAGGAGACAGTCTAAGCCAGTGGCATGTTGTCTACCCTTTACGCTTATCCACTAAAGTCACAATCACACAGTAAAGACTCCCTCCTAGAGTTGGGGCTCTTTCACATGAGCATTCAATATTAGTACAAAATATTAGGACGCTAAAGATTATGCTGGAAAAAAATAGATTTTATAATCTGCAGTTTAAATATTATAAATTTTGGGGGTCAGCTTTGGTGGATTTGAGTAACAATGGTACAGCAAGTAAAGAAGAGTTGTGAATTTGCTGCAGCTCTGATTCGACTACTGGCTGGATTCTCCTCCATGGAAATGCAGCTGAGGCTCATGGGAGCTACAGTACTCAGATGGATGATTTCTCAGAAGCAAACTTACTGAAACTGGTGTTGCTAACATAAAACTATATGTTAGGCATATAGAATACTTCAGGCTGAATATCACTGATAGAAACAACTGAAATGAGAGCACATTAGTGTAGATTAAGGAGAAACACTTCCATTACTGGCTGTCCCTTCACCCACAAATTCTATATTGGTGCCTGACTCTCATACTATACATGTGAATACATATAGATTTAATTATTCCTCCTGATTTTTTTGCGTTCAGCACACCGGCGAGCCTCCAATACATTATTTACATTAACAGAAATAAAAACTGAAGCTTACATTAGAAATCATAATACATATTCATACACAGTGTGCTCAAATAAATTGGAATATATGTATGATTTAATAATAAAGTCAACAACACAAATGCTACTGAATACGTGACCTCTGAACTGCAACTGATCATTAAACTGACACATTTCCTGTCCTGTAATGTTGTAATTAACGTCTAAAACTGCAACAGAAGAGAAAGAAAAAGAGCAGAAAGGAGGCACTTTTCTTCATTAAACCACCATTTGGTGCTCATTATATCATTCTGTAGGAGGAAGCATGAGTCCTAGCGGTAAAGATTTGCGGTACCTCATAGCAGGTTGAAGACAATTAGATCCCTTTCCTTAATGTGATTTTAATGCACTTACAATGCAGATTTAATGTGCAGACATTATTAGTGTGCAGAGAGTTGATGTAGTGTTTTCAGGTTAATGCTTCTGTCTTGCTTTGTTATATGTAAATGAGGCGGTGCTGATGCCAAAAAGGCTTTAGCTAATGACTGTCAGGATGCCAAAGAGAAAAGCTTTAGTATAGCAAGGGAAGCCTACATTCCTGCCAATATGGTACCAATAACAGTCTGTGTCTGTGTCTGGCTCTACAGTCAGTGCAGTTCTCCCACTGGCTGATTATCTGTTTGTAGTTTTATGTGCTGATGGATGTTTGTCTTGAGAACATGATAAAAATAAGTAGCACATGATCATCAGTATTTACAAATCAGAATGGACACTGAACTGAATTTCTGATAATTTCTCAGGGATTTTATACCAGTGGCTACTGTTTACATGTGAGCAGCACAACAGATGCTGGCCTGTGTTCTGTATAAATTGATTGATCTTTGTGGTCATTCGTTTCGCAGCACATATGCCACATTTTGCATGCATTTTTGTTGACATATCCATCAGCAAGTTTGAGTATATTATCTCTGAGGCTCTGGCAGGCACCAACTCTCTGACTCTATTAACTATGAGCTAATGAGGCTAGCATTGCCCAATTTGCTTCGGCAGCATTAGCCGGCTATTATACTCCCATCTGATCATCACTAATAAAACACAGCAAATTACAGCTGGGATCCTCCTCCACATATCACGTTGGCCATGGTTCTGGCTTGGATTATTTAATCAGTTCCCGTCTGGTTGGCCGGCGGAACTCAAAGGAACGCTGACCCTGTGTACAGGTGCAAAGGCTTGTGGTTGGTAGAGTTTGGGCGAAAACTGCCTCCTTATAGAAAAAAACTCAATAATGGAACAACAGAAGTAGTAATAATAAAAGATTACAGCTCACTATAGAGTGTGTGTCAATAGAGAATGGGTGAAAGAGGGACTGAGTTCAGACACAGCCTGTCTGAGTGCCAACAAAAAGAAAAATATCTGCTCTGGTAGCCTTGATGGAGACAATACAATATAATATAATTAGCATTTTATTAACATGGTTATTTTCCAATACGGATCACAATAACCCAATCAGCACCAATATCAAAACAAATCTGACACCAGAAAGGAACAAAAAAATTATAATAAAATGAATGTATTTCAACATAAACTCTTTTTCAAACTGCCCCACTTTCATGTTTTATTATATAAACCATGCCTACACTAGCCTGAACAAGTTTAAGCAAATTTTGAGAAAATGTGCAAAAAAACAAAAACAAACTGAAAATGAACTAATACTTTTTATGCAAATATTAGAGTTGGTTGATTGAGATTAACAGCTGGTGGTACCAGTCCTCCAGAATTTCTGTTTGTTTTAAGAAAATATCCTCGCTGCTCCACACGGACCTTGTGTTTTGCTCTGCCACTGTTTTATGTCTCTCCAGTGGAGTGGAAGCTGCAGTGGATGCCACATGCGCCATGTGTGTCATCATTTAATCACCACATCTGGGTCCACTGGACGTTGACTCATTTGGCTTTAACTGATATGGCAACTTTTCCAGATCAACCAAGCGTAAAATCGGATTTGCAATATTGTGAAATTTTTTGGCATTTTCGACATTTCCACCACGGGGGTTTTATGTGGAAAAATGCAAGAACAGGTGGACAGAGAAGCACCCTGTGCCTGGAGGGGATCTCTTATAGTGTAAAACATGTCTGACATAATTCATATGCTTAAATAATCTATGAGGCCACAATGAAAAAAATAGTCAGGCAATGTCCCAACTGGTGGTGGCTAATTATCAGACAGAGAAATGCATAAGCTGAGTGAGGCTGTTGTCGTCTGACTCACTTGTCCCGATAAAACACTGACACAGGACGAGATGACAACACCACACTGAACCTACAAGACTACAGGGAAAGAGAACAAGCGGAGCACAGCACCACCACACCACAGAGCACAGAGGAGAACCCGCACCTCCTGTCTATTCCTGTCAGCCTGGGAGGACGGCGAGCTGGAGGGAGGAGCAGCTTCAGATGACTTCTGCTGGAGACAGAGAATTTCAGACAGAGGGTTAGACATGGAGACGCGGAGCAGGAAAATGAAGAGAGACACCAAAGAACAATGAGAGCAGAGTACGGAGAGGGAGCGTGGCAGGAGGAGAAAAGTGAAGCGGAGAGAGAGAGAGAGAGAACTGAGTTAATTAGAGGGAATGAAGGAGGATTTTCTCCGCTACAGCAGAGTACTCTTCGCTTCAGTAGATGCTGCAGTCCAAGGTTATATTCAACCTCACAGCTGCACAGACTGAACGGTGTCTAAGTAGGGTCTCACATACCCACAAACACGCACAATTATAGAGTGTAGGCATGACCTCTATTAACCTGCTGTTGACCTTTGAGACAGACTAAGAGCAGGGCTTGAATTGAACTCTGCAGTCTCCCAGCAACAATGCGTGGTTGTTTTCACAAGGCAATGTTTTTTTATTTCTCGGTTCATCAGTGTTTTGTAGAGAAGGAAACAACAGAGGATAGGACAGCATGACAGCAGCCGTGCCTTTCTCTGACTCTGTGGAAAAGGTAAAAGAAGGGTCGTTTCGATTGTCCACAACCAGCTGTCCCACATATCACAGACAACAGACGCTCAGTAGCTTTATTATTTCTGGAGTTTTCTAGCTTCTAAATGCAATGACAACCTATTATCTCAATAGGGTTTACAATAGGGATAAACAACAGTACAAATAATACCATTTAACAAAACTAGAAACTGTGTAAACACAATCAATGCATTTTAAACTTCCCAACGACTCTTGAACAACTCATCTGCGGTGTTCTGTTACATCGGAGAACCTAGCTTATAAGGAAGCCATTAGTGACTCAACTTCAGGGACTTTTAGGCTGAACTGCTTTCCAACTGCAGGCGGTGCTGAATCAGAGCAGATAGGAGACAAGTATGAAAACAAATTAAAAATGTAAGAAGCAGGGTTTTTTTTCAGCACTGGTAACACCTGGGGGCATTTGGAAAAATGCTGTATACATTGATTCTAAGTTCTTTCAGTTCTTGTGTAATACATAATCAAAGAAATTCAGCTTTTGTTGTTTCTTTTTTATGATTTATGACATTGTAACTTTATGATACTGCAGAGAAAACACTTTAGGTTTCTCTCTACTTCTAGCCATGGTCGTGCTGTTTCCGTAGAGGTTCAGGACTTTATATTGCTGTGAGTAAAAATATGACAGGAGGAAAAACACCCAGAGACCAATATCAGAAGCAATATCAGCTTTTCTGAGTAAACAACACCTAAGGATGCTATTCAAGACTTTATATTTGAATGTTGCTTATTTAGTTATTAGAATTTACTGTTGGAGAGAAAACTTAGATTTATGAGCACATTTTAAGGCACATTAAAGGTGCCATATGGTGAAAATCCATTTCAATTGTGTCTAGCTGTTGTTAAACGTAGATATGCAACAAAAGATACGAGTGTACTGCAAAAACGTCTCAGCATCCCTCAGAAACAAGGAGCGTAACTCCCATTTTGGGGCATATCTGTATACTATAAAGCCTTCTATCACTGCCCACAGAGACTTAAATGTTTGAACCAATCAAAGATCAAATGGAGGAAAGCTTTCAGCTG